TACTGTGGTAATGAGGGCCTACACTGCCGAAATGGGCACACACAAGTCTCTGCAGGGGGGAAAGGCTCTCATAGTCCATGGACCCCTAATGCCTCTGCCTAGGCAAAGTAGCTGTGCCTACCCTGAGTTCCTGGTTTAGGGGGTGCTGGCAGATTATTTTTTACCCTGTTTGTTAATTTGTTCCCTCTCCAAGGCTGGGAGAATAGCTCAGGGTGCATGACGGGTCCTACCTCTAGCCCAGGGGACTTGGAAATCTCTGAAGCAATCCTTGACCTAGTGCAGACAGGGAGCAGGGAGGTAAATGGGACAGAGGTTTTTCGCAAAGAGGGGTGTTTTTGATCTGCATGGTAGGCCAGAAGCAAGTACTTACCTTTTGCCAATCGAGGGCTGCTTCTCACTGATTCTGGATGGTCAAGTACACTCTCTGCCACTGGGTCTCTCCCAATCTGGAAAACACCTCCTGAGGCCACAGCTTCCCTCACTGTGCACCAGGAGGTGATCCAGCCTAAAGAGCTCTGGCTCCTGCCGGGTCAGGTCTGGCAACTCCTCACTGCTTCTGAACCATCTCTCCCTACACCTGCCACTCAGGCCAATTCTTCAACTTTGCCTTTGATGTTCCAGGCTCCTAGGTTTTCATATATAATCGATTCTCTTGTTTTTTTGGATCGTTATTGTAAAAGGGACTACTCTGCCATCTTGGCCCTGTCTCCCTGATGTTTTTAATAATTATGGCCTATGTTGCCCTCTTCCTTTTCTGATTACTTCTGTTGAGCTGCATTTGTGTGTTAATTTACTGTATTCTAGTGTGTTATATTGTTCTATGTGTTTGTGTTAATTTAGTATATCCTAAATGTCCTATAATTGCATCACACATATTTGTCTTGGGTCTCCCTCTAGGTTGTGCACAAGCCCCTCTAAGGCCGGGACCACAGGCAGTTTGAATCCACCAAGTAGTACTGTGGAAGAAAGGCCTGGCAATCAGCTGCCATTAAGATTACAGCCAAGGAAACAGCTCTACTCTCCATGCATTGCATCGCTATGAATTGGAATTGACTTGATGGCAACTAACAACAACAGTACTAGATTCAGAATGTCTTCAGAAATGATTTCCTAATGGGTTCAGTGAGATGAGACTTTTACGTGAAACTAAAAAGGTCATTTTAAAGCTATCAGTTATTGACTATTTATGATGTGCCACCACTATGCCAAGGGTTTTACATGAATCATTTCATAAAACTCTCACAACAAGCCAAGGAAGTGAAATTCTACTATTACCCCCATTATATAAGGAAGAAAACTGAGATATGGAGAGGTCAAGTTGCTTGCCCAAGGCCCCAGCATAAGTAATGAAGCCATAACTGGTACCCAGGCATACAACCCAGCTCTAGAGCTGTTGCTCTTAACCACCATTCTTACCTTTGGTTGCAGAGTAATAATAAGCAAGGAAGTTTTTCCCGATGTTGTTGAAGCTTCGGAAGTACACAAGGGTCATTGAGCTGGAGGAGGATGCATAGGTGAGATAGAAGCCTGAACAGGCCTTCCCCAGGGATTTGGTCGAGGTTGGAGGCCCATCCAAGATTTCAAAATATTCATTGGTGCAGTCGAGGCTGTGGGAGCAAATGCCCAAGGGGGCCTCCTAGTCTTCACATCAGAAGATCTCAGAGGCTCCCGTGAGACACACCCTTTACCGATTTACTATAGAGGCTGGGAACAGGTTAAAACCCTGCAGTCGTTCAAACACTAGTATGGACTTCCTTTATTCTACTTTTTCTCTCTGAGAACCATTGCCTTAAGGGAGTAGGGTTTTAACCAGAAAAGAGGAGGCCGAAGCACTAGGTAGACCCCTGATGAGGGCCTCGGAGCAGAGATCACAGGGAACGTCGCAGGCAGCGGGAGGGCTGAGGTCAGTGCCAAGGAAAACAGAGCCAGTTTCACCATGTGGCCCATCACTTGCCCAGAGGACATGGTCTTAGGTTCCAAACAACCCATTTGCAAGCTTTTGGCACCCCCCCCCCCCGCCCCCGGAGGAATTGGACTATCAAACCAGCCCAGCTTGCTCTCTGGAAGTCATCTGACTTTGTCAGTGGTGTTCTGCATTGTGAAGTTTTGTCCAGATGCCACTAGGGCTAGAATCAGAAATCATTTCCATGCCTCAGCTCAGTGACCCGTCCATTCCAAGCCACATTTTGATTAACCAAATTTCCAGAGTAACAAATTATTTAAATTGTTCCTGGGAGTTGATTTTCATAAGATATTCATCCATGAAGAGTACTAAACTTTGAATATTTACAACATTAAGACCTAAGTTTTCCTGGTTTGTGTCTGGAGTTGACCCTGGAATCTGCAGCTTTAACCAGTAGGCCAAGGCTCTCCCACAGCCATACAAGCGTGTTAGTGCATGAATGTGTGTGTGCACCTGCATACACACACACACACACACACACACACACACACACACACACACACACACAGAGCTATCCATAACATACAAGGTGAACTTTATTTTAATTAAAAATGTACAAAGGCACACAAAAATAAATGCTATTTCTCTATATTACCAACAAACATATGTAAGCCAAAATTTAAAAAAAGATGTCATTTATAATAACTTCAAAAAAAAAAAAAGAAATACCTATCCATAACTCTGAAAAAATGTACCGAATTTGTATGCTGAAAATTACAAATAACTAAAACAAAAAATAATAGCAAATGCTAATTGGGGTGGAAGAAGTCTCTGGGTGGTACAAACGGTTTGCACTCAGCTGATAACAGAAAGGTTGGCCGTTCAAACCCACCCAGTGGCATTGCAGAAGGAAAGGCCTGGCTATCTGCTTCCTTAAAGATTACAGTTAAGAAAACCCTATGGAGCAGTTCTACACTGTAACACATGTGGTCGCCATGAGTCAGAATCGACTCAATGGCACAGGACAAAAATTAGGATGGGGAAAAACTGGATCTCTCCTACATTGCTGGTGGGAAAGGTACCTAAATGTTACAGCCACTCTGGATGGTCGTTTGTCATTTTCTTAAAAAGCTAATCATGCACTTATCATACAAACAAGGAATTGCACTCTTGGACATTTACCCCAGAGAAAGGAAAACTTATGTTTACATAAAAACTTGTACCTGAATGTTCATGGAAGTTGTATTCAAAATAGCAAAAGACTGGAAGCAACTCAAATGTCCTTCCTGGGGGAATGGTTAAACAACTCTGCATTCATCCTATGGAATACATCTCAGCAACAAAAAGGAATGGACTATTGATCCCTGCAGCAACCGGGATAGATCTCAAGGGCTTGTGCTGAGTCAAAAAAGTCAATCTCAGAAGATTACACACTGTATGATTCCCTTTATATAACATTCTCGAAAAGACAAAACTATTATTGATGGAGAGCAGATTAATGGTTATCAGGGGACATGATGGGGGGTGGGGGTTTTTGAATATAAAGCGTAAAGGGATAGTTCTTTGTGGTAATGGAACAGTTCTGTATCTTGACTGTGTGGTGGTTATAGGTATCTCTACATAGGATAACATTACATAGAACTACACACCTCCCCCGTACACACACATACACACACACAGAAATGCATGAAAAAATTGATGAAAACTGAATAAGGTCTGTAGTCTAGCTAACAGTATTGTACTAATGTCAGTTTCCTGGCTTGATATTGTACCGCAGTTATATGTCTCCACTGGGAGAAGTTAAGTGAAGGGTACATAGAATGACATGTACTATTTTTTCAACTTCCTGTGTATCTATAATTATTAAAAAAAAAAAGTTAAAAATTCATTTTTAACCTTTAATGCATTTTATTTATTTAAAATAATTTTGCTAATGAGAAACAACCAGAGGACTAAATGATTGGCTTTTTGAATTACCCAATGTACCTAAGCAGTGTGCTTAAGACTTACTTAAGATACGGAAATGCCAGCAGTATACGATCAGAAGCATTTGCCTTGATTTCCCAGACACAGGTTATGTTGTCATGCATTTCATTCTGCGGTGGATTCCTAATCGCTCCAGAAGAATTAGTAATAGTGCCGCCACACCGAGATTTTTCTAAATGCAGAAAGAAGATATTTTAGAATCTCATTTTTCCCCATTGTTCAGTTTACTATTTTGTAATTCACACCTTTTTTCCTTTTCACTTTTTTTTTCCCAAAAAAGTTTCATTGGTCAGTATTTGTGTGTGTGTCTTAGGAAATATCAAAGGTATAAACTAGTAAAAAGTCTTGCAAATTTAGGCAATTAGGTCATGAAAGTGTATGAATTTTGAAACATCTCTCACCTCTTTTGAGAATTCTACCATGGACATGGACTTGCTCGGAAGAGCTGTTATCTACTATTAGCCAGAACTTTTCCCTCCGGTTACTCCCTAATGGTGAGTCCTGTAGCCTTGACTTTTGTCAGGTCCCCAGTTGTAATAGTAAAGTACTGCCTCAGTTCCCCCCAGGGAAGGCTGAGTCTTTGTGGAATCTCTCTTCTGTGTATATGAAGATGGCAATGTCCCATCCACCTTCAGTAATAATCTTAAGAGTGGGAAGAAGCTGCCCTGAGTCGTCCACACCAACCCCTACAAATACTTGTAATGTTCTGCATCCACCTGTCCATCCACCTCTCTGTTCATTTGTTTCTCCATCTGCTTGTCTATCTGCCTGTCTATCCACCTGTCCAACATTCAGTCCCAAAAGAAAGGTGCTGCCTGTGGCAATGGAAGCAGATGATTTTTCTCCATTAGATTATCTGACTGTGTAGGAACTGCTCCCACATTCTCTGTGTGGTGGTCCAGTTGGCCCTGGCAATTTAGCTATGGCTCTTTTCTAGAAGGACCAGTCAGGCTTTCTAGGCATCAACATTATGTTAGCCCTTCATTGACAAGTAGTGCTAAGAAAAATTAAATGGAGCTTCTGACAACCCAAGGCATAGGCAAGAGAGGAGGAAAAAAAAGGCAGATGGAGAAGGAGATGAAGATTGTCAGAGAATGAGAATGGAGATCTTCAGAGAAAAAGAAAGGTGGAGAAGAAAGGAATGCTCATCGTGGTGGAAGTCCTCTAAATGATGGCCTCGGCATTATTGCTCTATCAGTGATTGCATGCCTGCCCTTCACTCATGGTGTCCATGCTGATGGACCAAGAAGGCTGGCATCACTAGACTATTTGGACTTCCTTCTTTGACTAAACAGAAATGGAATTGAAACCATAAATTAATTGATCTTCACTGGTAGGCCCTTCACTCAGAATACTGGCTCATAGGAATAACCTGGACAGGGCAGTATTATTTTGGCTCAGTTTCCTTGAAGAATCACTTCAGTGCTTGAACTAGAGGATGATTACCAGAGCAGCCAAGGACACAGAAGTCTCACCTGCAGGCGTTTTCCCGGCCAGGTCAGCCGATGTAGGACCTGTCAAACACACAAAGGACATCTAGAACATGAGCTGGCTCGAGGTCCACACCCCTGTCTGCGCATTGGCATCCCCATGGAGCTTTGAACAAGTACATTGTTTGGGCCCCTCCCAGAGCTTCTGAAACAGAGTCTCTGGGAGTGAGGCCTGCAAGCGTTGGGATTTTAATGTGTGGGAGAGAGAGATGCAGACTTTGATGTTTTGTTCTGTTGTCATGCGTGCAAACGAGATTTAAAAAATTTTTGGGGAGGTTTCAGAAAACCAAAGACATGAAATTCTGGCTCCTGGAGCCTCTTCCAGTGACCCAAGGGTCACACTAGGAGGAGACCCTGATTCGCATTTCACTGACTTCCTTGACCTGGTGCTGCTCAGAGCCGGACCTAAAGATGATGTGGATCCCGTCCTCCTCCCCCATTGTCTCTCTCACCAGCGACTCTCAGCTCTGTGCCACCCACTGGAGATTCTCTCCCTGGACCAATCCATTCCTACCTGCTGGAGCTGACAACTCAGGAGGGAGTATGAATTAAGCTTTACCAGGCTTTTCAACCCAGCTTTGTTCATGACTCACTTTGACTGAGAGCTGGCTGAGAGCATCAAGGGGCCTGGGGGTTTGATGAGGGTGAGGGTACCGGCATGGAACACTCTGGGTGTTGGGTTGGAAACATGTAGGAAGACAAATGGCAATGGAAGCTCTGTGGGACCATAGTTCCTTTGTTCCTACACCATGAACACGGCAGAGGCAAAGAGGGAGTAGAAACAAAATCAGTCAGCTTGACTTTGCCCAGGTCTGGCCCACCTGTAACTCGCCGCAGGGCAGAAAGTGTCTTTAACCACCTCTCTACCCACATCTCATTGTCCAACCTGCTGCAACGCTCAGAACTGACACATCAAAAGTGCTATTCAGAAGTTGGAGAAATGTAGAATCTGGTTCTTGTGTGGAAAATGCATGGGGTTGGAGGAGAGGTAAAAGTGAGGCTGGACTAGATGCTTCCTAAGGTACCACCCAGCTCTCCCACTGGGCAACCAGGCAATTCCCTAGTATGCCGCAGGCTTAGAGATTAGGACACATCTGGTTTCCATCAGGACTCCTTCTCCAAGGCAGATATGAACATTGCCTTCCCTACCTGGTGGTATGACGGTTGAGTATTCAGCACCTGCAAGTGTTAGAGATGAGAACACCTGCTGTGAGCAGATAACACACAGGTTCATTTTCCACAGTTATTTCTATCCTGACATTGAAAAGTTCTCTCTCGGAAAGAGCCCAAGCCAGGCCTGCCCCAGGAAGGAGCAGAGGTTTACCTGAGCAGATCACTCCGGCATCTTCACTGTGGCCACAGTTGTGGGAAAACCAGCCAACGTGGGAGCATTCTTCCAGGTGCTGTTCATCGCCCATACAGTGCACATTGTCAAGGAGGATTTTTCCAGCACCTTCCCCGAAGTGGGCCTCGCCTGGGGCCGAAATGGCCCAACCACAGCCCAGCTGCCTGCAGATGATGTTTGCTTCCTGCAGGTCCCACAGGTCATCGCACACGGTCCCCCAAATTCCCTGGTAGAAAAGCTCCACACGGCCGGCGCAGATACCTGGGCCTCCCACCAGCCGCACGGGGGCCCAGCCTCCTGAGGAAGAACAAGGTGTCAAGTGGTGATTTCTGTTCCCACCTGCCAGTGACTCAGCCTGGTCACAAGGGACCCCATTTCATTCCCAGAAGTGTCTGCTCTAAGGAACCTATAATGTCTTTCTTGTCAACACCCTGTTTCAAGACAACTTGCTTGTGGTAGACTGTTTACAAAAATGGCCGCAGTTACTCCCTTCCATATATGCTTGCTCTTTACAATGTGACAATGCAACTCATCCCTTCAAGAGGTAGAACTTATTTTCTCACCCCTTGACTCTGGGCTGCAGCCTGTGACTTGCTTTGGCCAATAGAATGAGGCAGAAGTCATGGTGCACCCATGCAGAGCCTCGAGAGGACTTATAAGCTTTAGCTCACCACCTGGAAACTCTGAGACCATCACGAGGATAAGCTTGATCCAGCCTGCTGGGTGATGAAAGACATGTGGCCCCATCACCTCTGTTGCCTCAGATGACAGCCAGGGACCTGCCTGTCGTTGCCTTTCATTGTTGAATGAAGTTGTTCAGAACACATAATACAAAAACATTAGTAAGTCACGTAAAGACACTGCCCTACCTGGAGGTGCAGAAGAAGGTGGGTGTTTAGCCACAGGTATCACCGTTGATGTGGGAAGTAGATTCTCAAGGGCTAGTGATGGTTAAAAAGAAGGAGTGTCATTAAGGAACAGTCAGAACATTTGGAAAAGATACTTAGCTGCTTCAAGGGCTGCCTGCCTCCTCCTAGGATTCAGCATTTTAAGGCCAGTGGCCTCATATCCCAAAGATTTCTATTTAGGACAGAGCATGGCATTGCTGCTTATCGGCAAACCAGCATGCCCCCAGTGGCCATTAGTAAAAGCAAAGTTCATGGGCAATTGGCCCTTGTTGGCCTGCTCCATGAGAAGTCATCAGTCGTCCCTCTTCTCTCTCTTCTCTGTCCCCGCCCCACATATGCTACTGTCATGACTTCCTCCAAACAAAGCCTGGAAAGTCACACAGCAGATCCGTGGGGGCAGGACAGAATCAACTCTGAAATGGCATGCGAAAACCTTTTAGGGTGAGGGAACACAACTGTATACAATTATCAGAATTCATGACACTTGACCTTAAAATGGCTGAATTTTATGGCACGTAAATAGGACCTTAATAAAAAACAAGATGGATCCATGGCTGAATAGAGGGATGGATAGATAAATTTATCATAGAATCTAGGCAGAGGTTCATTGATAAATTCTTCAAACATTGTTGTATATTTGAAAATTTTCATAATAAAATGTTAAGGGGAAAAGTGTCCCTCATTTTCTGTTACAAGACCCGTTTCTCTGTTTTTCGACAACAACCTCTTGTTTTTCATAGAAACATATACATAATTCAGCCAGTCCATGTGGTCACTTGTTCTTTCCTTGTATGAGAACGTCAAAGGCATAGAATTTTAGGGAGCATAGAATCTAACATGCTTGTTCTAACGAGACTGAGGGCCAAGACCATTCAGAGGATGAGAGGCCAACGGAGAATCAGATTCCTATAGCCCAGGGCCATTTCCATCCCACACACGCCTTAGGTCGGCATGTGACCAGAGGAGGAAACCATCACTCTGTGAGTGTGTGCCAGGTGCCAGGTACCATTAGGCATTGCCATATTCACGTCCTTAGTCAATTCTCTATAGTGTTTGCATTTTAATGAAGAGAAAACTGAGACCAAAAGAGATGATATAACTTGGCTGAAGTCACAACTGAGGGTGATCATAGGTCATGTCTATCTCCCCCATTAGGGTGTAAACCCCATGAAAGAAGAGACAAGGGGGTTTTGATCACTGCTGTACCTCCAGTGCTTGGCAAGGGTTTGGCACATGGCAGGCATTCAATCAATATCTGTTGAATGAATGGATGAGTGAATGAAGGAAGCTGGGAGTCAAACCAAGATCTGACTCTAAAGCTCATGATATTTTTACATCATGCTGAGTCTAAGTTATGACATCAAATATAAAATGTGGTCCTACCTGTAGGCAGAGCAGCTGGGGAATCAGCACCTGTCGATGTAAAGAGAGATTGTTCAAGCTATCACATCTTAATTGGTGGACGCTTATTGGGAACGTCCTACATTTAGGGTGCTATGGGAAGCAGAAGTAAGAAACAGAGACACTGCCCTCTAAGATCTTGGCATTTCCTGGCCATTGGAGGCATGAGGCCAGGCAGCAAACGTTGAGTGTCCCAGGAGAGTGTGGAAATTAGCGCTTCCCCGGGGCCCCCAGGTGTTGAGGAAGGCTCCATGGAGGAGGTGCAGCTCAGGATGGGCCAGGTGCAGCCTGGCAGAGCTTGTCTTTCATAGTGAAGTTATTCCAGCTGGAAGTGGGATAGGATCCAGAAAAGGGTGGGGAGTCCCGTGGAGCAGAAGAAATGAATAGTGGTCAGAGAGTGGCCTGGTGATAGGTTGGGGAAGGTTTCCAGGCCCAGAACTTGGAGGGCCTCGAACACAGCTGACAAATTTGACCTGTCACCCAGAGGTCATAAACGCAGAAGTTTCTGAGGGACATGTAGGTATGATAAACTAGGGATGTGAGTGATGGGGACCATGGTGAACAGGAAAGCCATACCTTGTCCAAAGGAGCAGCTCTTTCTCCAATCCAGCCACTTAATGTAATTAAAGAATTTCTAGTTATGTGCCTGAATTCTTTTTTCAATAAATACAAGAATTTGGATTTTTATGCCAAGTTTTCTGATTTTTAAGTTCAAGTCCAGCCTGAATTTTCAAACTGAACTGCCTGGATCCAGCTTATGAGCCACTCTAGCAGGCTTTGCTGTCAAAGGGATGCCCAGGCTGGTGTGTAACTTTGGGAGAATGCTGGCAACTCCTGTTACCTC